CCCAGGGGGACAGCTTGAGGCTCTGTCTCAAAAAAAAAAAAAAAAAAAAAAAAAAAACAAGAAAAGAACAATTTTGTAGCAGTGGAACAAAAGGAAATCTTTATAAATTGTTACAGCTCCTGGAGTGTGTCAACAGGTTTATTTTGATCCCAAGTATATTTTATGTAATACTGGGGACATATTTGGTTGCAGTTACTACGCCAGAGAAAAATCCCAAATTGTGATTTCCATATAGTCCAAAGATTCAGAACCCCAAGTTGTCATCAAGAAGTTGATACTTAAATCACGTATCACACTTTATTAGCATAAAATTTGTCATAGCCATTGAGCAGAACAGTACAGTCTCATTGGTCATGAGATATATTGCTTTGAATGCTCTGAGACATCTGAAAGAAAGTATAAAAAGAATCAAATTCCAGAAGGGGAAAATGAAAAAGTAAACAGTTTAAAAGGTGAAGAGCAGAAACTCTGGCTACTGAGTGAATTGAATTACAGGTTGCAGAGTTTGTGTTTTTGCCCTTAGGGGTACTATCCTGGCTCTTTAAATTTCCCTTTATAATAGGCAATGGCATAAGCACTGTAGGAGAAATTTCAAAAGGAATAACTACTGTAAAAGATTTATTAGATGTTAAATGAATTCAGGAGGTACTCATGTCTTTAGAAAACAAATCAGAGGCAGTATCAACAGAATAGAGCTCAAAGGGTTTCACAGACTTTACTGCAAGCAAAATATAACTGATAATGTTTGCAAAAATTGGAAGAATAAGCAACCGGTGAGAAATAATTCAAAATATTAGAGCATAAAGCATGACTATAAACCAACACTTTATAAAGTGACTATAAAGTAACACTTTTAGACAGAAATCTCAGAGCTCACAAATCCAAAGTCTCCCTTTAAAGCAGATACTCTGAGAGGCTGATAATTTAACAAATGTGATTGTCTACGCTCTCTGAGAATTCTTTTATTAATAGGGCCCTGCAGCACTTTATTTTGAATGTCCTTTTTACTTTAGAGGGGGATTTGGAGCTATTCAGGTAAAAAAACAAAGTATGACTCTGCTACGGACTGAATATTTGTCTCCCCAAATTCATGTCAAAACCTAATCCCCAAAGGGATGGTATTTGGAAGCGAGATCTTTGCGGGGGGGGGGGGGGGGGGGGGGTGTCTTCCCTTATTAGGGGAGAGAAGAGAAAGCTTTTGTTCCCCCCATCCCATCCTGATGTGAGGATACAGTGAGAAGGTGGCCGTCTGCAAGCCAAGAAAAGAGCCCTCACCAGAACCCAACCATGCCAGCACCCTGATCTCACACTTCTGCCCTCTAAAACAGTAAGAGATAAATTTCTGTTGTTTAAGCCACCCAGTCTATCTTGTTTTAATAGTCCAAGCAGACTAAGATAGACTCTACAAGCAACAGTGTGCATGCTTTAAACGCCAGTTCTGAAGATCATTCTTGCACTGTTACAGCATCAATCATATTTGTGCCGTAAGACTATAATTTTTCAAGATGACTTAGCTGTTAGAAGTTAGTGTATGACAGATAGTATCTTGATGAGGATGCTGCCACCACTGCCGCCACTTCCACCATATACAGAGCACCTAGAGTGTGGCAGGCAGACACTGTGCTGAGTACTTGACATAGATTTTCTTATTTAATCTGTAGGACTCATAGTTAGGTGTTATTTTTATCTCCAATGTGTAAATGGGGGAACTGAGGCATCCAGGGTCAGAAGTTACATGGTCAGTAAATGCAAGGCTGGGATTTGAACTCAGGGTTATCTGATGCTGGACTTTCTGCTCTTCTCCACAATGAGGGAGGCCTCTTATAACCAGGACTGGGCCCTAACAGGCAAATATGTGCTGGATTTTACTCCATGAAGAGAGAACCTGCTGCTTCTCAGGGTGGTCCATTTTATCTCCAGGCATTTATGAAAGGCAGTGCTCGGGGATCAAAGAGGGCAGGGAGCAGACCGACACTCGCCTTCCAAAATCACAACATTCTTAGCAACATAAAATGAGTCGGGTGGAATTGTCTGGGGCCAGGGCACAAAGTGGCTTGTCAGAGCAAGATGGGATTTGGAGGTGTAAATGGACAAATACTCAGACATTAACACCTAACTTTTATCGCAGAAAATATCTTCTGAGAAGTTGCCAAATCTTAGAGATGTTTAAATCAGAGTGGTGATCAATGAAACTATCATGCACAAAAGTATTTAGATTAAAAGTGTTATATAACTAATAATCTTCAGAGCATAAACATTCCTAAACGTTACCTGCCAATAATCTGGTCATAGTAATTTTAGAAAACTGAGTTAGAGCAGATTTTTACATCAAATGTGTTCTGTCTAATTCTATTTACTATGTATTTAAACCTTGGGTCTTGGTGGTAAATAGACTCAGAGTCTCAAATGAAGAGAAAAAGATTACCTGGTGGTATTTCTTCAGGATGTTGTGCATCTCGGCTACATCTTCACTAGTAATGGTCTTGATGATGTACCTTTTGTCGTAGGAGGTGTGAAACCGTGCCCCGCTGCGCGCCTGGGAGTCGTTGGGAAGGGGTGCGCTCCTGGTCAAAGAATTCTTCCCAGTTGGGGGAAGCAGGGAGGGGGTAAGAGAACCAGTTAAAGGTGTGGTTTTCATTTCCAGAGGATTTGCTGCCATACCAAATTTTTTAAAACAAACAAAAAAACACTTTTGTTTGGAATAAACTGGTAAGCAAGACGACAATATCCTACGTTCATCCTAACTCACACTCCAAGCCTTTCAGACGAAATGAAAACAGCCTGAGTGTGTACTACAATCCTAAGGTCCTCAAAGTGGGCTGACGGGTGGAATTATAACCAGAGTTACTTTGTTCTTCTTCTCAGAGTTGGACCAGGGCTCAAATGTTTCTTGATAAAATTAGGTTCTAGTCATAAAAGAAAATGTTAGAGTTACTGAGTATTTCCTTACACGGCAGGAACTGTGCCAAGCATTCTCCCCTGCGAGAGTTACTATTACCATCACTATCATCTTAGAGATGAGGAGGTGGGGGTAAGAAAAGTTTAACAACTGGGCAAAGGTCGCATGGCTAGTGAGGAAAGAGCTGGAATTCCAGCTCTGGTGTGGCTGGCTCAGAACCCAAGTTCTCAACTGGTGAATAATGAGGCCTGTGAGATGCTCAGGTGGGAGGGGCCGGGAGCCGGGGCAAGTGCACTCTAAAACCATTCCTGCTCAGCAGGCTTGGACTTGCTCCATTCTCCACCCCCGTTGAGCCATTTTGAGAACTACTGATCTCTTAGGGTAGGCAAGGAGGGGCTCCTTGAGTGGTATGTCATTCCAGGATCTGGTTCATGCAAGCAACACAAGAGCTAGGCAAGTCGCTCCATCTTCTCTCCCATGATTCTAATGTTCAGATCGCCTCCTTCTTAGAGCCTCTCCCCCTGGCCCCAACTTCCTGACACTGGGCATCCAGACTAGTCGGTCCCCTGGCATCAGAGGACATCTGGCCTTTGCCCCTGCTGACTGTGCTCTTCTGGCCCCACTGGCCTGTGTGTGTGAGATCAAAGGCAAATGCGCTTTTTCTCTTCAACTTCCTCTCTCAAAGTGGGCATCCAAACGCTGTCTAGTTAAGGGAACAGAGGCAGATGTCTTCAGAGAGGCAGGTGATAACTCCACCCCTGGACTTTCAATGAAAAAGAGTCTGTCTACAGTGTTCATTTTCTTCCTTTCTAGATGAAATCGAATAGGACTGAACTATAAACACAGAACCAGCTAGCTGGGGCTCAGTGGCTCACGCATCCCTGGTGCTTGCAGAGGGAAGGGGCTCACAAACTCACCCTCACTTTCCAGGGTGGGCCCTGGCACCCCGACAGCAGTGGCTACATTCTGGCCACCCTTGATCTCAATGTGAGGAGGCACAGCTGCCAAGCACAGCCAACACTGCCAATTAACTACGTTCGCTTTCCTTTGCTTATTAGGTAACTTGAGAGAAAAAAAATCAATGTACCCCTAATATCAGGTTGGGCAATGTTCAGTTATTCTTACTATAAGTGACACTTACTTACTAGATAGAGAAGGAAGAAAATTATTTTCAGGACGGAAATGGTATTTTAACAAGACTTAAATTTTCTTTTTTTCTCTGAGACAGAGCCGTCACTCTGTGCCCTGGGTAGAGTACCACAGCATCCTTGCTCACAGCAACCTCAAACTTGGATTCAGATGAACCCCTTGCCTCAACCTCCTGTGTAGCTAAGAGTTTAATTTTTGATTACCTTTTTTTTCCTCAAAAAGAAAATATCCTTTACACCACTCCCTACTTAGAATAAAAAGGAAGAAAGTCAAAGCGAATGTCCGCTTCTGGGGTTTTAAACAAACTTGCAAAAAGAAAAGGGAATTATTGCTCGTTGTTACCTTTTTCTGGCAAACATTAATTTACAAGAATATTTATTCCAAATAAGACAAGAACTCTAGGAATTATAAAACTAGAAATGATCTTCAGGGATAAAATCAAAGCAGGAACAATCAAGTTTACGAAAGCCAGGTGGACGAGACAAGGTGGCACATACTGTAAACTTTGTCAAACTGACAATAGTAACTGGGGAAGAAGAAAGGACAGCCGCATTCAGCCAAGGATGGAATTACAGCAGCACCAGTTCCACAGACCACTCTCTTCTGCATACTAGATTAGCAAAATGTAATGTTCTCTCAAGGGCCTGTTTCAGAGGAAGAAAGTGACAGCTGCCTCGTTAGTGCTTCTCCAACTTACTGAGCAGCCCAATCACCTGGGGTCATGTGGACAGGCAGGTTCTGATCCAGCAGCTTGGGGGGGGGGGGCACTTTCCATACATACATTGTACAGACTATGTACATTCTGATACATAGTCTGTATCAGACTATGCTGATACAGCTAGTCTGCAGACCACGTGGGAGAACCAAGGGTGGACTGAACTGTGGTTCTGCTGTGTTGCGTCTGGTGTGTGGAGTGTTAAGTGTTACAATTACGAGCTAGACAGGGTGCTCACGCCTGTAATTCTAACTAGCACAGGCTGAGACAGGTGGATTGCATGAGCTCAGGAGTTCGAGACCAGCCTGAGCATAAGCAAGACCCCGTCTCTACTAAAAATAGAAAAACTGAGGCAAGAGGAACTCTTGAGCCCAAGAGTTGGAGGTTGCTGTGAGGTATGACGTCACAGCACTGTAACCAAGGTGACAGCTTGAGACTCTGTCTCAAAAAAAAAGTGTTATAATTACAGACTGACCTGCAGTAATGCTTTCCCCATTATATTCTCTCCAACTCTAGTTTGATTAAAATGGGAAGGTTTATAGTTCAGAATAATAATCCATGACATTTACTGTACCCATTCATTAAAGAAATGTTTAATAATACTGTGTACCTGGCAACACACGGGATTATAAAGGGCTAGAAATGTAAAATCAATAATGTTAAGAACACCTTAGCTCCTCCAAAGCCTGTGCCTTTCCCCTCAGTTTCAAAGACATTGTTATAATCACTTATACAGACATTTATTACACATTAGGATTTTGACTGTGTCTTAATCCTGGGATATAAAATCTTATAAATTCTAATCTTGATTCTGTCTCAACTCACTTTTTTTTTTTTTTAAGAGACAAAGGTTAAAGTGCAATTCTGTGATAGCTCACTGAACCCATTCACGCCTGGGCTCAAGTGATCCCCCTACCTCAGCCACCCAAGTAGCTGGGATTCTGGGAATGCACCACCTCCCCTGGGATCTTGCTGTGTTGCCCAGGCTGGTCTCAGATTCCTGGCCTCAAGCAATCCTCCCTCCTCAGCCTCTCATAATGCCTGGATTACAGGGATGAGCCACCACAACCCAACCTCAACTTATTGTATTAATTACTAATCACATTGGTAGTCTCTATTCACAATACTTCCAGTATGTGAAAGGACTTTTTGAAGGCTCATGGTTTCAGATATTCAATGAAGTTAGGAACACTTTGCTAAAACTTAGAATGTACTGTTAACAACAAAAATACGAATAAAATTAAAAGCTTCATCTCATAGACAAGCAGAAAATCAGAAGAGCTAATGCAGTTTTACACAAAATGCCTGATCCCTGGAATGATTTCCAGGCTTGAAAAAATCCAACATAACATTCCTGTGAGAGAAGAGAGGACAGGTTCATTTTCCCACTTGACAATAAGGAAAACTAGACTACAACTGGGCTGGGTGACATGTTTGAGATTCCTGCCTATAGCTTTCTCTGAGGTAACCAAAAAGGGTGATTTACAAAGACATAACCAAATGTTTGCCATTAGGTAATACCATAATCATAGCCTTTGAAATAAGGTTAAATGGCTTGTGGGGTTTTTGGGGATTTTTTGCAGTTTTTGGCTGGGGCTGGGTTTGAACCTGCCACCTCTGGCATATGGGGCCAGCACTCTACTCCTCTGAGCCACAGGCTCCACCCTGCTTGTGTTTTTAAAGTAACAGTGAGGGCACTCGTGGGGCATCCAGGACATGCTCTGCCAGCATCAGTCCTTGCGGATATCAATTCAGGCTCTGTGGGTCTCAGCTTCTGAGTCTATAAAGTGATGGAGAGTAAGCCCAGGGGACAGAGCAGGCTGAATTATAAAAGATTTCTCTAGAGCTCTAACTCTAGAAATGTATCTTCTTGGAGACAGGCTCATTGCTCTAAAACAGTCGGAGAGCCCAGACCTCAGAGGTGACTCAGTACATATTTCCCAAGAAGGGCCTGGTCAGAAGACAGTATAACCATCATCTCAACAGGGACATAATGATGGTTTAGGACATCTGGGTCAAGATGAAAGAGAAGAGGACAACAGTTCTTACAGCCACATGAAAAATAACACTTCATAGATTCCAGATGTATTCAGGACGACGTCAGCTAGAAAGAGCAAATGAGCTCGGGGAGGGAGCCGTCATTATGCTGCCTAAAAATGGCCTGCTATCTGGTGAAATTAAATATGAACCTCCTCAGTGCACTTTGTTCAGTCACAAAGAAAAAAACGAGCCACAGCACTGTCCAGGATGCTGGGACAAGTCAGGGTGGCCAAGAAGAGAAAGGCTTGGAGTGACTTTCGGGTGTCTCCAGAGAGTCCCCTCTGTGTAAATAAATCTCATAATCGAAGAACATTAGAGGTGGAAGCAACCCTGGAGATTATTCCAAACCACTCGATTTACAGATAAAAAAAATAAGAGCACAAATGACTTGCCCATCTCAGTTGTTGAACATCTGGTAGGCTGGTGTGGATGGGGGGCCCTGCAAAGGACACCCAACCTCCACCTACCACCACCGTACTGTTTCCCAGCCTGGGATCTCACTTCTGGGGGTGGGGGCTGTGGGGCACCATGGTGCTATAGTTGATATCACTCTGTCCATAGTGACAAACACCTTCTAATACCACTGAGAGTGTGAGCCAGCTGGCACAAAACCAAACCTATCTTTAAGTTTTCACTTTTGCCAAGCAAAGCGGGTAGGTATCAGCCACAGTGCTAAAGCGGTCCAGAGCCCTTTATTTACACTTTTATTAACATGTGTACAGAGCTATCTGGACTCATTCTGGGGCTTTTCATTACCCAGCTTTAACTCCAGGGG